TTTTTGTTTGTTTGTTTGTTTGTTTGTTTGTTTGTTTGTTTGTTTGTTTGTTTGTTTGTTTGTTTGTTTGTTTGTTTGTTTGTTTGTTTGTTTGTTTGTTTGTTTGTTTGTTTGTTTGTTTGTTTGTTTGTTTGTAAAGGTAGTGTATATGCCGTTTTGTCTAGTTCGCACATTACCTTTGCTAATACTCCGCCACTTAGTGCTACAATAGGTAACACTGCCATCATAACCAACGTCAGTTTCCATAAATAGCAAAATCCCAAAATATATCCCGCAAAGAATGCAGAAAAGCTAAAGATAAGTCGACCAAATTTTGAGCCTATACCATCGGCTAGCTTATTTAAATCTCTGAAAGAAAACATGAGATGTTGGTATAAAGATGTTGGCATGTAAGAAGAGTGCTTTCCCAATTCAATTTGACTCTAATAAACACAGCAGGATTCCCCTGGATACACAAGTTTCCTTCTACAGTAACCCTAGATATAAACATCTGAGAAGAACTGATAGAGTTATCAGGTAATATATAGGAAGTTACAGTGAAACTCCACCTTACGGCCACCTCGTTAATGCCCCTCTTTATTACGGCCATTTATTTTTGTCCCTGAAAAACGCCAAGAGCTTGACCGTATTAACCACTGTAGTTCAGTTTAGGTTTCTTTCTATACTAAACTGGATAAACAAACTAGGGAGATGACCATATATCAGGATATCACAGTTTATATAGTAAGTAATGGACCATTTGCATTATAGACTAAATTTTGAGCTAGACAAAAATTTTATCACGGCTTAAAAGAGCATCACAAAATTAGTAATATTCCAAAGTTTCGTTGCGAAATGTTGTAAAATGCGGATAATATAGCCTTGCGAAATTTGCAATTTTCAGTCATTTTGTATTACAAACGGGAAATTGATTCCCCAACACCCGATTGGGCTGTCAATTTCCCGTGCGTAATACAAAATGACTGAAAAACGGCAAACTCCGCATTTTACAACATTTCGCAACGAAACTTTGGAATATTACTAATTTTGTGATTCTCTTTCAAGCTGTGATGAAATTTTTGTCTAGATCAAAATTTTGTCTATAATGCAAATGGTCCATTACGAAGGACGCAGCTCAAACCTGATCGAGTCGAAGGCTTTCTAAGGGCGCCTCTGGCAGCCACCTTATGACTCATGTCTGATCACGGGGCACAGCTACGGTGGAAGGGTCAGTTGGGGGGCTAGTCCCAACTCACCCTGTCAACATTCCCTGTAGGAGGAAACCGGAGTACCCAGAGAAAACCCACGACTTTCGGTAGAGCGTTGACGAACTCTTTTCACATAAGTGTTATTAGTCCGATGTGAGGATCGAACCCACAAGGTGAAAGGCGCTTGCTCAGACGATTGCGCCACCGAAGATCCAGTTTAGAACTGATAGAAATCCTCCTAAGATCCAACAGGTCATTTCCCAGTGCGCGCAAAGCAGGCTGGGGACCAGCCTGCTGTGCGCGCACTGTTTGCCTGCGAATCGGGCCTTTCGTTCTTTGATTTGGCGAAAGCCGCACCATTGAAGAAGCACGACAAATACTACAAATGGCAAAAATGCTCTAATTCTTTCTGTTACTTTCATTTGATCTCTCACTTTCGTTTGATCTCATCCGTGAGTCGCCCTCAACGGCCTTTGATTAGTTTGCCAACAGGCCTCTGTACTATAATAATACATACTCTGTAAGTCTAGTTCCCAGCTCGCCACTTGGATGAGTATCAAACCAAGCAATCTCCTGATGGATGATATTTCTGAACATTGCCAGTCTCATTTTGTGGACTTGTCTCTCAGCACTCAGACCCCAAAGTCCTAGTCCCATCCAGGCAAACAAGAGATTCAGAAAGGCAAACGCAATGTACCACCAAGCTACATCCGTCATGCTGGACTCGAGGTCAACTGGATTTGTGCAGTTACTTCGTAGACACTGGGCAAAATCTACAAAATCATCTATGACCGAATTCATGAGGAGAAATTGCGCTGGAGTTAGAACACCATAAGCTATAGATCCAAATGTTCCCAAAATCATGAGGATTACATCAACGTTGTCGCGAAAACGAAACTGCAAGCAAACAAAAGTGAAATGTGATTGTAAGATACGTTGGTGTGCATCATGTAGACTCTTATGATGGTGGTGATGAAATTATTACACCATGGTGATCACGTCACTCTATGATGCAGTGTGATCAAATTTTTCCAGCGGTTATTACTAAACTTGTGTTCACAATTTACTAAATGGAGAAAGATTTTACCAAATTAATTTCACCCCACCCATCTTTGATAAAATTGAAAATTCTGGGGCAACAGTATACACACCGCCATGACAACCCAGGGGATGAGGTTGATCAATATATTAGAAGTATTAGCTTAATGCAGGTAAATGTTTTCGTGAAATACCAAAAGTGTTATCATGGCTTCGACAAGGCAACTAGCTTGACTAGATTGGCCTGAAAACCCAATAATTTCCTATTCCATGTTTGAAATTACCAGGTTTTGTAGGCTAGAAGTTTCATTAAATCGCAAGATACCATTCAAACACGAACTTTTACAAAAAAATCACTGAATTGTTAAAATCTCTAAAAATTTTACCAAAAATTTTACTAAAAAAATTTCATTACTAAACTTTTCCTAAATTGACGAAATTTTACCAAAAGTAAAATATTTTACCAAATCTGGTCACGCTGCTATAATGGTGGTTTTCACGTCATTTTATGACGATGCGATAACGTCATGTTATGATATAAGTGACGACGTCACTCGATTATGAAGTTCATGACGTTATGTTTATATAGTAATCAGGTCATGCCATGATGGTATTGATGACGGCACTTTATGAGAGTGATATGACATCATTTTGTGATAATAGTGACGAGGTCAGAATAATGAAGATGACCTTTTTCATGATAATTGTGATGATGGTAATGTCAATAACGTGTTGATGACGTCACTCTATAATTGTTTTCATGACGTCACCTATGATAATGACAACGACGTCACTCGAACATAATGACGTCATTATGTGAAACGTTACTCCAAGATGATGATGACAGTATTACTGGGGCCGGTTGTATAAAACTCTTAATCACTTTTTTCATCACTATTTTGTAGTTAAATAGTGATTAACTCTCAAATACGGGCTTCTTATTGGATGACGTTTCCACTTAATTATAGTTAACTTTAATCACTTTTTTATACAATCGGCCCCAGAACTATAATAACTTACCAACTGTGTAAATGGTACCATGGAAATTTTCTCATGTTTTCTGCAAGAGATAAAAAAATTGGTTGTTAGAAGACGTTGCGACTTACAACGAACCTGTACTGATCATGTTTGACCTCAGTCGAAAAAAGCGACACAGTTGGTCAGTCCAGTACAAATTTATAAGTGAAAAGAGTAAACATGAACTTACTCATCTGCAGGTGCAAATCCGATGTCAGGAGGTGGCGTATCATGCTTCCCAGATGGCAGCAACTGTGTTTTCTCCGTAGCCATGATAAACTATATGCGAGCCAATGTGAACTGAAAATAAAATATGTTCATTCAAATGTTAAACAGGCTGAGAAACGTCTCGTTCAGACAATAGGGAGCTTAAGCATGTAGGACGGCAACACGACGACGACGGCCAAAACAAATTCCTTCAAATAAATGATAGTAAAGAAAACTTGTCGTATATTATAATTCGTATGAATTTAATACAGTATAAGAGGCTGAAAACATTGGCTTTATGTTTGGGAATAGTTCCATTGACCGAACTTTAAGTTGCACTTGTTACGGCTTGAAATGCAGGCGTTGTATAAAAGACGTGAAAATCTGTGATTTGCCGTTGTAAACAGAGCGACGACCACGCATGAAACTCCCCTGGGACTTTAATTATTTATTCACTTTTCATTGACTCATTGTATTGATTGCCGTCGTCGTCGTGTTGCCGTCCTACATGCTTAAGCCCCCTAATAGAGTATTAGAGTACGACGCGTCATTCACGTGTCGGTTCAATTTTCTTGACAGGCATGATATTGTCAAGATTGAGTTGGTCTTCGTTTAGGGTTGAGTATAATCACGTTATGGTCAGACAGGCCAAAAGCCGGGATAGCGCACAGAAGAGTGTTTGATCGATTCTAGTTGGGACGTGAACCATTTGTTTCATCTTCAATTGATTCAGTAGCAGAGTAATTTTGAAACGATTAAAATCGCCTGCCAGTGATTCAGTAGCCGAGTAATTTTGAAACGATTAAAATCGTCTGCCACCCGTGAGGGATTTCCCACCCGTGAGGGATTTCCCACGTGAAAGCTTACTGCGACCCAAGAGATTTCCACTTTTAAGCCTGGTACACGCTAGCAATTCGTCGGCGATTTTGTGTTTCTGACGGATGCAAATGAGTGAACTCCCACACAAAAGTATAGAGTCGCTTTTCAGAAGTAAACAATTCTAAGTCTTTTGCACGTCATTCATTCGATCACATTTGCCAGGAAGAGAAATATCGCCGACAGAATTGCTAGTGTGAACCAATTGAAAGAAGTGACAATGCGAAGCCGTTGAGAATACCCCTGGGGCCACAAATTATTCACAGACAGTTTTTATCTTGCATGACAAACCGCGTCGTACATCTTTAACTCTCCAAACTGGAACAATGACGCGGACAAGAAGCTGTGATTGCATAACATTGCAAGAATGATTGCATGCATATGCCCTGGTTCACATATTGCCTGCGCTATCATTGTTTGTAGCTGTTGATGCATACATTCTTTTGTGAATCATTTGGTTGAACTGCTGACGACATGCAATAGCCCGCCGACATACCGCAGGCATATGTGAACCAGGCTTTACGTCCGCGCGAGTAGCGTTTGGTATATAATTAATACACACATCTCCCCTGTCTTTATAAACTTCTTCATTAGATAGTTAAGGCCAATTTACACTACACAACGTTTGCCTATCGCATGCAACCTGCTTGCAACTTGAGTTGGACTGTGTCAGTGTAAATCAAGCACACAACTCGCCTACGTTGTCCCAGGTGAGTTGTGTGCTTGATTTACACAGTACAACTCAAGTTGTAAGCAGGTTGCATGCGACAGACAGTTTTAGGCAAAGGTTGTGTAGCCTTAGGCAAAAGTTGTGTAGACAAATCACAGCGGCTTCTTGTAGAATATTAAATAAAATTTGAGCCCATGTTGAGATAGCAGTATAATCTATAGAATATATATTTAATATATCGCTTAAAAATTTCACAGTCGTTGTACATACCTGGTCGATACTGGATCAAGCTAGTAGTGCTAGAGTCACTTGCCAGGCTGTAGACCGGGTCAACAGTAACTAAAAGCAACAAGAGAGCGACACAAGTGGCATGATATGCAACGCTAACATCACAACGGAAACTGGCAATGTAAATTTTGCATATATTTTGTCAGTGAGTCCAATGGTCACTTAGAAATGCAAATTCTGCCACACAGTCGAGGCACTCCAGATAATTCATATTTCTGGATGGTATTTCACTATTGTATTACCACTGTATGCCTACGACAGCTGAGCACCTTGCAAAACTTATTCAATGTTGAAAACTAGTTTGATTTTCCAGAAATTAAGATTAGCACGAGGGTCGAAGATATTCATGAAATCAAATATACCCGTTCAGGTTCACTGCACATGTCTTGATGTAATTTGACCTCATTAAAGACATCATCAAACAGAATGAAATACAGTGTACTTTACATACAGGATATACACAAAGCAAGGCCAAGATGTCTGTGTCCTGTGTTAAAAAATATTATATATATAGAAGACATTAATTGTATCGTTAAACGTCATGATAGCACATAAAATTGCATGGCAATGGGAACACATAAAATGGGAACAAAATGTCAGTGTTGCATTTACGTAAGGGAAATTTGTGGTAGAGGAAATGTGTATTCCTGTTCTGTTAGTATAAACATAGCTAAAAAGTGTAGTGTAGCACTGTAGAGGTTGTGTTGAATGTTTTATGTGTGCGTGTTAGACTGTTAGTTTCGAGGTTAGTTTGAATCGCAAATTGTGAGTTGAAAGTCTTGTACGCGCAGAGAGCGACTCAGAGCGTGAATGAATTGGTTATGCAGCGACGCCGGAACTGGAGGGCAGGAGGGGCAGCCGCCCCCGCTGCCCTTTACCGGGAGGGACAAGGGGGCAAAGATGCGCTTTCAATTTAAAGGATTGCCTTGGCGAAATAGCAAATTTTCAGAAATTGTCAGTGCAATTAGCGAATTGTCAGTGCAATTAGCGAATTGGCAGTGCAATTATTTTACGAATTTGCTTCAGAAAACGCAAGAAATGCAGTCATCGAGCTTCAAGAATAGCACAATCGCCTGGCGGAGAACCCCCTCACACCCCTATCATCCAATAAATAGAAAACATGATTAGGCGAAGTTCAACTCCCGATGTTTGATGTTTTGCAAACATCTCTTAGAAAATATCAATTCAAAAGTGCCCTTTCAAGAAAATCTGCCCCCCCCCCCTTGCCTTCACATCGTTCCGGCGTCCCTGTGCTTATGCACAATCGTGTTGGGTAATTGTAACTTGCATCATTGTAAAACGACGTGCACTAAACAAGTGTAAATATCTGTACTTAATAAATATATTAAAAAAATACAGTCCCGCGTGTGAAGTGTCTTGAATCGTGAGCCAGCAACCAGCGCGACTTAAGGCTAGTTTCCACTCAGGAAAATTATCCGTGGATTGGAACGGACAAGAAAATTTTTGTTTGTCTTGTGAGCTCTGGGGTGGAACTAATGACTTTAACACAAAGAAAAATTTTCTTGTCCGTTCCAATCCACGGATAATTTTCCTGAGTGGAAACTAGCCTTTAAATCGCACAATAAGTTACGCGACAGAAGTCTTAACCAGCCTGAATCTTAACCATTGTCCACAAGGTAGTCCAAAATTGCGCTTCATAAAAATGTTCTGTAAACAAGAATAAATGAAGGCATGGAATTCACATTGCGGATGTATCTTGACTCTTACAACAAACTTCGTCACGCCATTTCCGCCAGTACAGATAGGCCCTGGGCCGTGGGCCAAAATTATTTCGCTTCGTGGCACCCATGTGGGAAGTACTTGGTTTGCGGTTTAGTTGAAAGGCATATAGTACATTACTACCAAAAAAGTTCCCAATTGGACCAAAATGTCGCAATAAGGACTGGGTACTAAATCAAAAACGCGTTTTTGACAGCGTGCAACTCGAAAACAATTTGAGATATAAAAAAACTGTTTAAATGTCTTATATTCATGTAGGTTTTTGTAAGCTCTCTTTAATAATGTAAGTAATTTTTGTTGTAATTGAATACAAAATTTCACATTTTCTTGCTGTAATATAATAGAGGATAATCACTGATCACCCATTTTCTCGGTATTGGGCACGTTTTCTTTTTGGGAACTTTTTTTGGTAATTGAGCATCTATGGTACTATGCATTGAACCACAGAAAATCTATTCCCTAGGGGGGCGCCACGAAATTGCTTTTCAAGGCACTTCCACAAGTTAGTTCAAAATGCAGTTCATAAAATGTGAACGGATATACATTCAATTGACATATACCATGCTCTGTAAACAAGAATAAAGCCGGCATGAAATCATTCATGTATCTTCATTTTTAAAAACTCTCCACATACATAACAAATATCTAAAAAGTTTTTATCTGAGTGCATGTCAGTCATGGTGTACAAATATCTACAAAAATTATACGACGTATTTAAAATACGCTTGGTTACTATAAATTTATCAAGTCAATGTTTTTAAAAATACTTCATCTCTCCTTTCACCTGCATATGCAGAGATTAATTCCGGCAATGGGTGATTCCTGCAGCTATAGACTAAATTTTGATCAAGGCAAGAAGAACGAAATCCAACACCACGGCTACAAAACAGCGTCTTAGAATGAGTAAAACTGCAAAGATCGGTTGCTAAATGTTGTAAAATGAAGAAAATATAGCCCTGTGAAGTTCGCAAATTTTGTATATATTGTATTACGCGCGGTAAGAATAACCACTTTCGGCTCAAAAATGGTTATTTTTCCCGCGCGTAATGCAAATATATACAAAATTTACGAACTGCACAGGGCTATATTTTCCTCGTTTTACAACAATTCGCAACCAAACTTTGAAATTTTACTCATTTTAAGATACTCTTTCCAGCTATATGGCACAGTAATGGATTCCCGTTTTCTTATATAGAATAAAATTTCGTCTATATCTAGAATCATCCATTGGGGATTTCTGTAAGCGTTAAAGCTAGGGCAGCAAATGGTGGTCAAATTCAGATAGGAAAGAGAAAATGAAACTATATCTCCCAATTTTATTTCGTTGCTTGAAGACTACCACATATGATGGAAAGAAACTTTTGTCACTGTGTCAGTTGAGAGCATCATGTGTTGCCCGACGCGTGCTTGGTGAAACTTCAAAATACTCCTTCCCTTGACTGTTGAGCCACAGAATAGAGACAAACAGAAGCCCGACTTCTTGGTTTTTCCGATATGATTTTGGTGTAACTGTATTAAATTAGTCACCCTAGCCAGTGCGATTATGAGAGGTATTCACCCCCCTGCTAATATTCATCCAGGGGGAACACCTCTCATAAGCGCACTGACTAGGACCTTGGCATCAGCATTTTGATGACGAATCATGGCGTGGCAGCGGTTATGCTTTCTTTGGCTGAGTCGACCTTCTGTGTGTCTTTATTCTGTGGCTTGGTGAAACTTCAAAATACTCCTTGCCTTGATTGCTGAGCTCACCATTGGGCTGGTTGGTCAGCCATATTTTAGTTGGTCTATGTTGAATCAGTATACAAACTTTTCAAAGCATCAAGAGCTTCTACTGTCACTGTTAAACATCCTAGCAGCTCGTTTCCATCCAGTAAACTGTACACTACAACAAAGATGAGAACGTCAGATTCGAAGAAATATTTTTCAGCCTAAGTGGTGGCACGCAAAGATACGGGCGCCCCCAAAAATCCAGCGGGCACCTCAAGGAAAGCAAGAAATAATTTTCAGTGAATGTTATATGGACCTATTCCCTAATGAACAAAATTTTGATCTAGACAAGTCTAGACAAAGATTTTATCACAGCTTGAAAGGGCGTAACAAAATTAGTAATATGCCGAAGTTTCGTTGCAAAATGCGGATAATATAGCCCTGCGAAGTTTGCCGTTTTTCAGTCATTTTGTATTACGCACGGGTAATTGACCGAGACTTGTCTAGATCAAAATTTGGTTCATTAGGTAATAGGTCTACTGAGCTGGGCTGGGTCAGCCACCTGACCAAGGGGGAGGGGGCGGGATACTTATTTGCACCTCCTGAACTGCAGTTCTTCTTCTTTGTACCTCCTGAACTGCAGTTCTTCGTTTGATTTTTTTCTTTTCATTTGATTTTTTTCAGTTTGCATTTTCTGACCTCAATGGTCCCACAACCGCTATTTTTCCATCCCAGCAGAATTCCCATCCCGTCTCTGATTTAAGACACAATATTCTGCTGTGGTTTTCCTTATACATGGAAGCCAGGCAAAATTTTTACTTACGTTCAATATCTTGATCAATAATATCGGCGTCGTCTTTGACTATCTGGTGGAAGAAATACAAAACCAAATTGACAAATTGTTACTAATCTTAAATGTGGGGATTGAATTCTTAAATCTTGAATTTGGAGACAAGCCTTTGTTTTAGACACAAGCCTTTGTTTTAGGGACAAGCCTTTGTAAGGGACTCCGTGTCCTATTGCTTAGTTTCCTGCTTAGGTAGCCATGAACAAGATCTGACCAAGCGCCTCTAGAAACTGCTGCAGTATGAAAGAGATACACTCGAAAAAACGTTAAAGTTCTGCTTGTATTTTTCAATCTAGTTGTATCCCTCTCAATCTAGTTGTATACCTCTCAATCTAGTTGTATCCCTCACAATCTAGTTGTATCTCTCTCAATCTAGTTGTATCCCTCTCAATCTAGTTGTATCCCTCTCAATCTAGTTGTATCCCTCTCAATCTAGTTGTGTCCCTCTCAATCTACAGCTGTCTTGTTATCGTCACTGTTACATGATAGCAATTATCATGTATATTTTATAACATTTTATATTATACATTAATACATTTTACTATATATATTATATATCATAGTTTAGTTATATTATATTTACTCTAAAGAATTTACCTATGGGAAATTGTTTTACGCATGGGAAGTTCTTTTAGCTTGGTCACGCATGAGCAAGCAAATATTTTAGTTTATTACGTTACCACAAGTGCGTAATGGACGGGAACGGTTACCGCAAGAAGATTGTAAGAATCTTCCCAAGTAATGACACTGCAAGTTTAAAAGTTCCTCTCTGAACAATATATAAGGGAGAGCACAACTCTATGCATGATTCATAGTAGGCCTCCGTGCCTTACATGTTTCATTCATAGGCCTCCGTGCCTTACTTCATTCAATAGGCCTCAGCGCCTCAGTTACATTATTCATAGGCCTCAGCGCCTTACGTGAATATCATTTTGGAAAAGCTATTATAAAGAAGATTGTTAAGGAAAGATTGTTACAAGTTATATACGAA